CTAAATCCTTGCTCGTCATGCTTACATCTTTGCCCGCTGTCTCCGTTCCCATCCCCAGGTGCCCCGTATGCACAAAGTTCGACGGCGTCCCAATCATCGCCTTGGTTACCCGCCGCCCTCCGTCCTCGTCCGCCTCGCCAAAACACGACGTAAACAGCCCCATACCCGCCTACAAGTATGCAAAAATTGAAAATACACCTCTGAGAAATAAAGAACGAAAGGAAGGGTCCGAAAATCCATTCCTCCTCCCTCTTTCAATCCTAAGCCGCATGGCTCTATTTTGCTGCCAATGCCTAGAACGGCCCAATAAAAAAGCAATAAAAATTAATAAAAGAATTTTCTTCTTTTTACTGCCCCCTGGCGGGATTGAACCACCGACCTCTTGTTCTCTCATGTGCCAGATGGTACAAGACAAGCGCTCTACCACTGAGCTAAGGAGGCACAAACAAAAGATGTAATGCCGCTCTAAACATTGTAGTCTATCGCCACATGCGCTTTATGCTAACGCAATGTGTTTTTTGGCTGTCTTTGTCCGCAGAGTTGCCACCTACCACGGTTTCGCTGCATATTTAGGTTTCTCAATTATAGCACTCGTTTGCAAACGAGCTATTGGCGTAGCAAAATACATTGCTTCCTACTTCAAGGTTTCTTCCAAAAAGTAAAATTTAAGGAAGAAAAAATCTGCCCCCCTTTGCTAGACTACAGGCCATTTGTCTCATATAACATGATATGACCAGCCAATATTATGACGGCCAGTGCCACTGCATATATAAATCACTTTTACATGCTCTCTCATTTCTGACTTAGAGTGATGGCAGCATTGTCACTATCATCATGCACACACACAACACTAGCCATTCCATTTTAGTGCTGTGCACTCACTTCAGTACAGCACATCTGGGCTTCCAAATAATTAGCATCTAGTGCATACAACACGCCAACTTTTTTTAGTACAATTGAACTGTTACTCACAGATTTTGGTTACTGTATTGCTACAATTTTATTGCCACAGCATCGATGGCTGTGCTGGTATTTGCAAATGGATTTACGATACACTACACAAATTTAGGTTACTGTATTGCTACAATTTTATTGCCACAGCATCGATGGCTGTGCTGGTATTTGCAAATGGATTTACGATACACTACGCAAATTTAGGTCGATGTTCCAAAGGCTTCTAATTCAAGAAGTTCAATCAATCGCCTGCTTGGCTCAGGGGCAGAGCGTCTGTCTCGTAAACAGAAGGTCGCAAGTTCAATTCTTGCAGTAGGCATTTTTTGCTGGGTCAATTTTTTGCCGTTGATTTAGCTACCAACGAGACTCTGGTGAAACTTGAGAGTGTAAGGCAAAGATAGTTTTTTACGGTTAGCCAAAAGAAAAAGTAACAACGCTGACCGAACACAAAATAGCGGCGCAATGACCGCCGATCCCCCGCATAACAGACAAAAATGTAGTAATTCAGCAAAAATTATGCCTACTGCAAGAATTGAACTTGCGACCTTCTGTTTACGAGACAGACGCTCTGCCCCTGAGCCAAGCAGGCAATAACCAGCACTAGCTAAACTAAATGCCTTAAATGCATAGGGCTTAGTTGGTGTTGTCAACCGTGAATTTACCAGTGCAATTGTTGATGCTGTGGCTAAAAATTGTAGCAAGCGTAAGATAAAGTTGATGTTTTGCAGTGAATACACAGCACCATTTAGAATTGCTAGCCATAGTTGCTCTAATGGTCGTGGCTGTTGAATAGTGTTAAAGCCGTGTCTCTTGTTAATTTGCAGCGTAGAAACAAAAAATATTGCTTGTTAATAACCCTACATGCACTGGTAGCTATGAAAGTGCTTTTCAGCGTCAATATTTCCTAATAAAGTTTAGTAATTAATACGGAAAGTAAATTTTTTAATGTTAAACAGGCTTGAGACTAACAATGACTGGGTTTGTCATTTAAGCGCTGCTACCCGTCCAAGAGAAGCATCTTAGCCACTGCTAGATGCAGAGGATGCCATAAAGTAAAATCAGTCGGTTAAAAAAAGTAACAATGTTTAGAATGGATTTACTCGAGGCCCATCTGTGCATACATGTCGTCCAACTTGGCCTGGTTGTGGTCACGGATATCCGCGCGCTTGAGTTTCTGGGCGGGCGTGAGCAGGTCGTTTTCGGGCGACCACAGCTCCGAGTCGATGCGGATGGCGACCAGGGTCTCAAGCTTGCTCAGGCCATTCTGCTTCGCGACGTGCTGCAGGTCGGCTAGCACCGCGTGAATAAACTCCTGGTTGGTGGCGATCTCGGACGGGTTGTTGTAGTGGATGCCGGCGTTGTCGGCCATCTGCGCGATCTGGTTCTCGTCGATGTTCACGATGGCGCAGGGCTGCGACATGCGCGAGTCGGCAAACACGCAGATGTTGTGGATGTACAGCGAGTTCTTGTAGGTGGACTCGAGGGCCTCGAGCGCAATGTACTCGCCGGTGGCCAGCTTGATGAGGTTCTTCTTGCGGTCGATGATGGACAGCTGGCCCTGCTCGGTCCACTGGCCAATGTCGCCGGTCTTGAGCCAGCCGTCCTCGGTCACAGTCTCGCGCGTCAGCTCGTCGTTGTCCAGGTAGCCCTTGAACACCGACGGGCCGCGCACCCAGATCTCGCCCTTGCCGTCCTTGGCAAAGTACTTGGCCTCGGGCACGTCGACCAGCTTCATCTCCACGGACGGGCACGGGGCGCCCACGTTGTTGAAGGTCGGGTCGTCGGGCAGCTGCACCGACAGCAGGCCGGACGCCTCGGTCATGCCAAAGCCCTGGATCATCGGGCACAGCGCGGCGTTCATCAGCTTCTGCACGTTGTGGTTGATCGGCGCGCCGCCGGTGATGACGAACTTAAGGCGGCCGCCGGTGGCCTCGCGCGTCTTCTTAAAGACAATGCTGTCCATAAAGCTGTGCGGCAGGTGGTGGCCGCGCAGCGTGTTCTTCAGCTCGACGGCGTTGTAGAACAGCTTGCGCACCAGCCAGCTGCTCTTGTTGACCTGCTTCAGCATGCCGGCGCGGATGGTGTTCCACACCTGCGGCACGCCCATCATCACCATCGGCCGCAGCTCCTTGATGTCGCCCTGGCACTCGCGCACGCTCTCGTCGGTCAGCGTGCGCGGCGTGCCGTAGCCGATGCGGATGCCCGAGTACATGCAGTACACGTCGACAAAGAACGCCAGCACGTGCGACAGCGGCAGATACGACAGGATAATGTCCTGGCTGTAGTCGATAAACGGCGCGATAAACTTGTGGATGCCGCCGGTCACGGCCATCACGCCCTGGTGGCTGATCAGCACGCCCTTGGGCTTGCCCGTGCTGCCGCTGGTGTACATCACCAGCGCAATGTCCTCGGCCGCCGGCTCCTGCCGCTCAACCGCATTGCGCTTGCCCAGCTCGCGCACCTCGTCCATCGTGTGCACGTCAAACTTGGCCTTGACCTTCTCAATCGCCTCGGCGCAGCCGTCGGGCATGCCGTAGGCGTCCTGGTAGTACACCACGTGGCGCACCGTCTCAATGTCGCCCATAATGCGCGCCAGAAGCGGCATCTGGTCGGCCTTGAGGAACGCCACGTCGACCTTGGCCTGGTTCATTGCGTGCAGCAGCCCGCTCTCGCCCAGCGTGTCGTACGCCGTCACCACCTGCATCGACTGCGAGAACGCGCCAAACGCGCACAGCTGCCACTCGCGCGACGTCGGCGCGTATATCAGCACGCGGCTCTTTGCCGCCACGTCCAGCGCACGGAACCCAGCGCCCAGCTGCGTCGTTGCCTCGACAATGTCGTTGTACGTCATCCACTTGTACTCTCCCAGCTTAAAGTAGCTCCACTTCTTGGTCACCGTCTCCAGCTTGCCGTCGACCTTGTGCTGCACCTGCTTGTCCTCCGACACCGTGCCCAGCACGTCGCGCTTGCCCAGCAGCGCCGCGTCCGGCCGCGTCTTCTGGCCCTGCACCAGCGCCGCGTAGATGTTGGTGATGTCCGGCTCGGCGCGGTCAATCAGCCGGTCGGCGGTCGTGTGGAAGCGCCGCGTCGGCGTCTCGCTGCCGCCGCCGCTCTGGGGAACAGCCTTGGAGAAGAGTATGGTCATTGTCTTTTCCGTAATTACAGTAAGAGTAGAAAAAAAGAATACGGTCACGCGGGGGGGGGTGGGAAGAGAGAAGAAAAGGAAGGTTCGGGCCCGCTTTCCGCCCGGTTTTTATATTAATCGTTGTGCAAAGATTGCGGGAGCTGCTCGTCGGCACGCCGCAGACAAGAAACGATTGTCTTGAACATGTTTTGGCGCGTTTTTGTGCGTCCCTCTGCATCGTGGGAGCTGGGCAGCGCCGCGTCCATCGGCGTCAGCGACACAAACAGCGCCAGCGGCACGAGCCACACGCCAAAGAACATGAACGAGCACACCTGCTCGAACGGAATGCGCAGGTTGCTGATAAAGTAAAAGAACCACACAAAGTGGTTGCCCACCGCCAGCACGCAGCTGCCCAGGAACGTCGCGCTGCTCAGGCTGACCAGCGGGAACCGCGCCAGGTTCGCTGCGTAGACGTGGTTGGCCGCCACCGATACTGCTATCCGCCAGGCGCTCAGCCCGTCGGCCAGCGCCAGCACATGCACTGCGTCCACCGCCCACACCGCGCCCTGGATGAGCTGCCGCGTCTGCCGCGGGTACTCCTCCACCCACTCGGAGATAACGTACAGGCCGCACGCCAGCGAAAATACAACAAACGCCAGCCCCAGCGCCCACCCGACGCTAGCCAGCGCGCTCAGTACCACCGCCATTCAACTGTGTTAATTTGAATAAGAGGATAAATGTGCTGTGGAAAAAGAAAAAAGAGCGGGGGG